AAATTTTGTAATTTTTAAAGTGTTAAGGGCTGGATAGAAGATGTATTCATGAGGCTATTTTATTAATACATATATGTAATGAGTTGGAGAATCTTATGATTGATACTGCTAGGTGTTATAGAGAAAAACTAGTTCTAATTCTCAGGGATTCTTATGAAATCACTCATAATATGTTTAATTCATTGTGATATGGGTACTAGTAAATATGATTTTCTTTTTATGATGCTTTTTCTTGCGATTCTAGTATTTTGTGATGTAATGAATGAAATTCAATTATTCATAAGTAGAAATAAATTAATTTTATTTTTGGTTAAATAGGAACCTAACAATTCAAATTCAAGAATAGACAATTTGAGTAAAATGTATTTATCCTCCTGTAAGACTTTTGAAATTGAATATAACTCGAAGAATAAAAACACATTCGTCTAAACCCTTATGCAAGCATTATAACTAGAAAGACAAAGAGGAGGAACACTATAAATTAACAAAAAAACAATATCCCTCAGAAGATGAATTACATTAAGTGGAATCAAAATTTGCAAAATCTTATAAATAGGGTATTGTTTTACTCTGGAATTCTTGCTTTAGCAATCTAAACTTGGACTTGATTAAAATTATGAACAAACATAATATGATATCATTATAAGTATTACTTCATTTATTTGTGCTAATTTTTAAAAAATGGAGGGCATGGATTATACATGTTGCTCAATTTATTATTATAAGAAGCAGAATAGAATTTAGTGCAATCATCAAAAGTAGTAGTATTTGATAATGGACACTAATCACATATATTTCAGTCGTTTAATCAATGTTCTCAGAAAAATGACACTTGTAAAAGTCGGTTGACACATTTAAACTTTTTTATTGTAATTTTTAGATGAAATAGTTTTTAAAGTGGTTTTAATCATTCGACTTTGCACAAGAAATCAGCATAAGCAATATTTTAAGAATGAAATGTAATTTCCGTGAACTTACTAATCATCACTACTATATAGCCAGAGGAACTTTAAACATTAAAAAGTAATAAAATTATTAGCATTTAGATGGAATATACAAGTTTATTGATAAGAAGACGCATCATTACCCTATATGTTATTAAAATAGATCAATATATATATTATTCATTTGTTGAATTATGTTAATATTTCTACTTTTGACTTATAATGCTATATACTTATTATCTTTATCTTATTAATCATGATTGAAACATCTGCCATCATAATATATAAAATATGTTCTATTATAAGATACTTAATTATAGTAAATACCCTCTTCCAATTTGAGAAGCATTTTGATAATTATACTTTTATATAATATCTCTAAAACCTATTCCTAACATTACTTAATTATTATCTAATATTTTAAATGCAAATTTAACTAATCCATGTTTTGGAATCATTTAATCACAAATACAACAATACCAACTACTATTAGCAGTTTCGAAAACAACCCTTCCATTTTATGAAATTTAACAATTATTATGTTTAAATGATTATGAAAATGTTAAACTTTAAGGATATTAATCTAATTACTACTACTAATAGGATTTATAATATCATACTATTTAAATCTATCTTTATAAATATGTTATATCTTGAGAATCTTTTTGTAACGATGTCAATTAATCTAATGTTTCTTATAATTATTTATTAAGTTTCTCGATATCATTTTCTTTATTTTTCAATAATTAATTAAGATTAGTAATTTAAGAAATCTCTAAAATATATAAAATCTAATAAATTACAATTATTACAATCTTCTTGTGCTTTAGTTAAATTATTTAAAGTAGATTGATTTTGTTTATTCAAAATGTCATTTTACTTAATTGAATCATCATATTTGAATTATAATGAATTTAATAAGGATTCTAATTTTGATTAATTGTCTTAAAATTAAATAATTTTTAATGAATTTGAATCAATTTCATTTTATTTAATTTTTAGTTCTTATTACAATTAATCAACCATTAAAAGTCTTTTAATTTCTATAGTATCTTTTATGAATTTCTAAATTGTTTCTTCATATTGTTCATTAATTATAATATTGGATTCAATAATCTTTTCTTCATTTAATTATTATTCATTATTGATAGTTTATTGTTGAATTGATAAATCAGAGATATTTTAGATAATAGATTTATATAAA